CTGTGAGATGGAGGCCAACCAGGGCTACGTAGCAAGTTCCAGGCCAGCTGGGGGTACATGGAGACCCTGTGTCCAAAAAAATCCATGATGAAATCCATTTCTTTTTGCTGTTAATTTTAAAAAATATTTTTAGAAAGGGAAACAAAGTCTGAAATGCCTCCTGCTACCTTTTGATTGAGAGGGTTGCTTTACCTGTCTCCATTTCTATCCAGGACTTAGTGAGAATGAGTAAAGTTATAGTCTATCTTCTCCTGGTGGAAGTACCCCTTCAGAGCTAGACCAAAACCAGGGGTCTTCTAACATGATTCATCAGGCTGAGGAGGAAACAGCAATGGAGGCTAAGAAGAAAAAGCCAGAAAAAATGGAAGAACCACAAAGACGTGTGGAATTGTGGAAGCCAGAGAAGCATTGTAAGAAAGAGAGTGTGGACAGCTGCTGAGTGACTGTAATACAGAGAGAGGAGCATGCCCTGAACTTGGCAAATAGAGGTCATTTGTACCTTGACAAAGTTTCAACAGAGTAGTGAGAAAGAAGAGAAGAATGAATTTTGCTGAATATTTATAGCATCTCATAGATTAAGGTAAGCAAGTTGCTTAGGAAAAGCGTAATTCTTCTAAACGCTGAGATCCAAGATGTTTGCCCCTGAGACCACGTAGATCCAAAATGTAAGGTTGTATACAACATCTTCAACTGCACCTCTAAATAAAACAAGTTTTATAGAATCTCATTGGACATCAAAGGCACTATAGAAAGTTTTCTTCATTACATGGTGTGGTGGTTTGAATGAGAAGTGTCCCCCATAAGCTCCAAGTATTTGAGCACTTGGTGGTGCTGCCTGACTAGGCTCCCCATTGCGTCTGACTGTCCCCGGGTAATGGGGGCGGCGTGGGCTGGCGAACGGCGTGCTTACTCATCCCCAAACATCACCTCCCCGGGGCTCGCTGGTTCGAACCCCGGCAGTCATGGAACCTTTAAGAGGTGTGGCTTTGCTGACAGAAGGATGTCACTGAGAGTTCACAGCCTCTTCCCATTTCCACTTTGTGGTATCTCTGCTTCCTGCACATTCTTGAAGATGTAAGCCCTCAGTTTTCTGCTCAGGCTTCCTCTGCAGCTGTGCCTCCTCATCATGATGAACCCTTATCCATCTGGAACCATAAGCCAAATAAACTCTTCCTTCTATAAGTTGCCTTGGTCATGGTGTTTGATCACAGCAACAGAAAAGTAACACAGATGGAAAACTGGACTAAGTGATTAATTTACTGGAATATAACTATTTCATAAAATAATTCCACATCATAACCATAAATGAACATTAAAATGCACTATAATCCCTTCCAGTGTAAGAGTCTGTTTATGCTGAGATGTTCCTTTCCTAGAGGTCTAGATGAACATTCAGAAGTCCTGCTGAGGTAGCTACAATCGTTAACTGAATTGAGCATTATCATCAACTCTCAGAGCTGAAAGGAATATAGAAATGTCAATAAGCTTTAAACAAAAAGATTTTTTAAAACATTTTATTTATTATTTTTATGTGTATAAGCGTATTACGTGCATGTTGCAGGCATGGACAGCAGGCATGATGTCTTAATAAACCCAGTCTGACACAACTCCACTTGATGATGGTTGTCCCCAACATCTCTACTGGCTACTTTGGTGTGAGCTGTCCCCCACAGAAGTCGATATTACCTTCACATCCAGGAGGAAAGCCAAGAACACAAGAACCCAGGTCTTTGAGCCAATTCTGTTCTTCAGCCTTAATGGACAACAAAGCAAGGAAAAAGTATGTAGGATCAAAATAACAAAAACAGAAACAAAAACCTTCAAACAAAACAGAAGATGGGACAGCTACATGAGGATTAGCCAGAGTTCCATGAGGGCACAGGGCCTCAGTGCCTCTGCATCTTCACCTTGTGGGCTGGGCTGCCTGCTGCCTCTGTGCATCCATGTTATGCAATGGCCACAGAGATCAGAAGAGGGCATTGGATCCCCTAGGACTGGAGTTAGGACAGTTGTCAGCTGCCACGCAGGTGTTGGGACCCGAACCCGGGTCCTCTGCAAGAGCAGCCAGTGCTCTTAACCGCTGAGCCATCTCTCCAGTCCCTGAACAAAAAGATTTTTAAGTAAGAAAGAATTCCCATAAAAGCTCAAAAACCCTGAATTCTCAGGAAAATTTTCCCCCAAACATCAAGACCAGATGAACAAAAAGTGATTTTTCAGAGGCCCTAGAGACTTGGGTGGACATGGGCACTTCAAACACAGTGTGTAAAGGCAATGGTTCTCTAGTGTGACCAGGCAGAGCCTGCAGGCACCTCTTTTTTCGTTTCAGTTTCATGGGATAGGCAGAAGATGCATTTGGCTTAAGAACAGAAGTCCAGATGACATAGAAGGACACAAACTGGCTGCAGTCCAGTGAAGGGACAGGGCACCCTCGGGTGCTCAGAAAAGTGGGCTGGGCTCTGTGAGCATGTTGTATGTGACCCTACCTACAGTTCTGCAGCTAGTAAACTACAGAGCTACAGTGACCAACAGAAAGGGCCAGCGACCTCTGCTGGTCCAGTCACACAAGACGGTGATTTTAGTAAGGAGAACTTAGAGATGATTCTTTCAGTCAAGTTAGGATATGGTTAAAGGAGTCACCTAGCCAGAAGGAAAGAAAGTTTTAGCAGAAGAGTTAAAAATTAATTACTGGAAAAATAAATCTCTTCACATTAAGGACTAGAAACTCCACATTTAATCAATTGCAGTTATACAAAAACAAATCTTTCTAGCCTTTCTTTTTTTAATTTTTATTTATTATTTGTGCACGAGTGTTATGCCTGCATGTATGTAAGTGCACCCGTGTTGTGCAGTGCCCACAAAGGTCAGAAGAGGGTGTTGGATCCCCTGGAACTGGAGTTACAGATGGTTGTTAGCCACCATGTGGGTGCTGGGAATCGAACCCATGTCCTCTATAAGAACAGCCAGTTGTCTTAACCACTGAGCCATCTCTCCAGCCCCCTTTCTAGCCTCTTGTCACTTGTTAATTGGGTTTTGTGATTCCTTTGTGTATTTTGAAAAGATTTTCAGATCTTTTAAGGTTTATTTTTATTTATGTACATGTGTGTACGTGTGTGTGTGTTTGTGCACCTATGTGCAAGAGCCCACAGATGCCAGAAGACGGTATCATTTCCCCTGGAACTGGAGTTATAGGCTGTTGTGAGCTGCCCAATGTGGGCTCTGGAAACCAAATTTACGTCCTCTGGAACAGCAGCAAGCACTCTTAACCCATGAACCACCTCTCCCTCCAACCTCCTAAATCTTTAATTTTCTGCCCACAGGGTCCTAGCAGTAAACACAAATACCTACAACATGAGAAGACGTGGTCCTTCTTTGCTTCTGGCCTCCTTCTTGTGATCACAGATTTCCAGGGGAGCATGTTTTAAAGAACATGTTCCTCTTTCTAGAGTTGTAATTTAGATGCTACAGGATATGAACTACAAAATAATATTGAAGTCACCCATATTTTACCGCCCAGATGGACTCCTATTAATATTTGATGAATATTCTTCCTAATGCTAAAATTCATGTATGACTTTTTTGAAAATAGAACTATATCAGATCAGACAAACTATTTTGTAAACTGGGCTGTTCTGTTGCAGTTTTTTTTCCATCTTTAGCTTCTAGTTTCCACGGCTTTTTTTCTCTTTTTTTTTGACAGGTTCTCACTATGTAGCCCTGGCTGGCCTCAGACTCACCTCTGCCACCTCACCTCTGCTGGCATTAAAGGCATGCAGTACCACACCCAGCTTTGGGGCACCACTTTTAACTGTTGTGCAGAATTCTGCTGTGTAAATTATCCTAATTTACCTAACCAGACCCTAAAGAGCTGAAGAGGAAGAAAGTATGGAAAAGGACACAGGTGCCCCATATAGTCCCTCTTCAAAGATTGACTGTTTCCTGTTCTTAGCTCTGTGCAAGAATTGGTCTCAATTATGGGAAGCTGTCTTCCCAAGGTAACCCACACCTAAGGACAGATCATAGGGGGGCCCAGTGCAGCACTCAGACAGGCCATCATCCTCAAAGCTGCCAGGAGGTCAACCAATGCATACTGCATACAAAGTCTGTCCCTAATACTGCTCAGAAAACTCATTCCCTATGACAGGATAATACTAATCCCATTTCTATTGATTAAAGCATTTAGTCACTTCTTTTTTGTGGTAACCCACATGCTGTTTGTCCATTAAAAGCAATATTCTTGGTGTTGTGTATATATGGCCCATGGTGGTTCCAGAAGGAAAGAAAAGACAAGAAAGGAACAAGTTAGAGATCATCAAACAATTACTTGAGGGGCTGGAGCAATGGCTCAGCCATTAAAAGCACTGGTTGCTCTTCTACAGGACCTGGGTTTGGTTCCCAGCATCCACATGATGGCTAAAGGCCACCTGTAACTCCACTTCCAGGGAATCCGACACTCTCTTCTGACCTCCACAGCATTGCACACATGGATGCACTTATATACATGCAGGCAAAACACTCATAAACATAGTAAAAATACATTTTTAATTAAAAAATAATTGCTGAAGCACCTCTCTTTGCTTGTGTTTCTCCCAATCTATTTGTTCCAAATTTCTTCATCATTAGTTTTTGTACCACTCATAGTGTGAACACTACTTAAGCAGTTACTATCCCTAGGAATATCGAATGTGTATTACAGAAATTGAAGTTGGTCTTGACCCTCTGCACATAAACAAGTGTAGCATCATTCAGAGAAGAGAGAATAAACTGGTTTTTTAAAACAAAAAGGCTCAGAAGATAAGTCAAATCAGGCCCCCAAAAATCAACTAAACTCAAAAAACTTTGAAATGTGTATTCAAGGAATAAAGTCCTGATTCAAGAAGACTCCAAAGAAGTGATGAGCTGAGTCCTGAGAAGTTTCCTTTGTCTATGAGAGACGCAGACGGTGTCTGTGTCTGAGAGAGTTGTGTATTCTGAAGCTAAGAAGTCTGCCAGGCAGGTTCAGGCAGCATCAGGCTCGGCCCATGTGAGATGCCTCCTCCCAATCACAGACCACCCTTTCCAGTTCAGAGAACTGCAGCCGGTAGAAAAGCACCTTGGGCTTGTGCATACTGCAGAGTGAGCGGTGCGGCGGCAGGAGGAGGAGCAGGAAGAGCATCAGGCAGCCTTCTGTGAGTACAGGGACTTCGCAGAGACACCCACAGCTCTCTGTGTTTCCCCAGGAGCAAAGCTAGCAAAATGAGACCGGAAGGGGCACTTACACGCTTAGTGAACAATCTGTCCCTTTTTGTAATTTGAGATCTTGTTCTGGGTCATGCTCTTTTTTAATAATCTGTCCCTAGCTTGACAAAAAGTTTCCAGTTCTTCTTGTCAGAAATCATCTGGTTTTGCCAACCGCTAAAAGGATTTGTTCATCAGTTTACTCTCTGTTCTTCCCTACAAATAGTTCTGCTTAATAAACGGGTTGGTTGGGATAAGTCAACAAATTAGCTTCATCTAATCAAGACCGCTTTTACAGGATCTATTATTATCATCATTTAGTTGCTCCAGCAGGATCTTCAGGTCCTAAATATATTTTTTTGTTCTGATATTTTTATACAAAACACAAATTAAGTTTCAAATAACACTAGTACTATTTGATGTTTATAGCTTTGTGATTATGTTTATAAGCCCCAAACTTCTTTTTTTATCAAGGTTTAGGTGTTTTTAAGAACATTCAAGAATTTTTATTATTTTTAACATATTTATAAACTTAAAGGCAATGATTATCTACAATCTCTTGCCTAAGTAGAATTGATAAGCACATTAGAAAAGAACTCACTTGGGTTTTATGCATATGCATTATTTCAGTTACATATCTTATATAGGGTATGTACTTTTTCTAATTGAAATAGTTCTCCTTTTGATTAATATTCTTGATAAAGGTAAAAACGCTTTTGTTTTTGTTCATAGCACACTATTAATTTATGTTATACTAAACTTAAAAATTTCAACTCTATTTTGTTTTAACTACCCAGAAAGACTCCTAACATTTAGCTACCAAGGAAACCTTAGGAACCATTTAGTCAAGAAATGTACCTGAAATGTTTTGGTTTGTTTTTTTTTTTTTTCTGACCCCCTCCTGCTTACATTCCTAACCAGAGCCAGCAAATCAGCCTTAGAATGTGCTGTACCCTGCTCTGGAATCTGGACTTGACGGCTCTGCAGGCTACCCACAAACCTGATGGGCCACTGCTGTCTAACTGGAACAGAGATCACATTGATGAGGAGGGTCCCCGATTTCTTTCTCTCTCTCTCTCTCTCTCTCTCTCTCTCTCTCTCTCTCTCTCTCTCTCTCTCTCCCTGAGTGTTCTCTGTGGTACTCCTGCCCTGGGACTGGCCTCTCACTGCCATTGCCCACCCCAGTAAGCACCTGAGATACTACTTAGGTTGAGTCCCGGATTTCAGGTGGGTGATCGACAGACTGCCAGCATCACAAGAAGCAGCAGGAACTGAGCACTGATGTCCAATAGGACTTCTTGTGATGAAGCAATGTCCTAGACAAGAGCCCCTCGCCACTTGAGGGTATGGGGTGCTTGAGGTGTGGCAAAGAAACTGCCGAGCTGAATCTTCACTTCTGTTGCATTGAAGTCATTTGACTTTAAACAGCTACATGTAGCCACTGGCTGCCATATTGGTCAACACAAGTAGAGAGCCTTAGAACAAAACAGTAAGGATGTGTATGGTCAACTGTGAGTGTCCAAGATTTCTCTTTCCATCATTTTCTAGGATCCATCTTACAGCAAATTTAAGTAGACTTTCCTGGTCTAAAGTCTCCACACCCATCTTTATATTCAGTCATGCAGTTCTCTGCTCTCATCTTGGGTTAGGGGCAAGCAACAGCATATTATGTTTCTTATTTCTCTCTCTCTCTCTCTCTCTCTCTCTCTCTCTCTCTCTCTCTCTCTCCCTCCCTCCATCCTTCCCCGCTTCCTTCCTTGGAACCCCCTTACTTCCTGCTCTTTTGTTAATCCAAATTTCTCTAGCATGAGAGGAGTCTGAGGTGTGGTTTGTGTGTTTTCTGGTGTAAGAAACTTAAGTGAGGAAAAGAGGTAATGAACTTGAAAAAATTATCTCATACTTGGTAGGTGAGTCTCACTTTGCTTTCTTCTGCTTTGAAAATTGTTTTGTTTAGTGAGTAGTTGTTTTAGGCGTATTCAATGTGTCTAGAAGCATCAATACCCTGAGTATGAATAACTTCCTAAGAAAACAAACCGAATCAAGGTACAAGAAAAGAAAAAAAAATACAACTTTAACCTCTTGAAAATCAGTACTTCTAAAAAACAAAGAAACTCCCAGGGTGTTGAGTAATTTTCATAAATCATGGAGGCCCTAGTCGCTGGGAGGTTCTTCCATGGGGTCCTCGGGGAATTCCTTGACTGAGGTACGCTGGTTGGTCTGTGGGGCTGTCATCACTGATGCACGCAGCCATGTCTCTGCCTCTGTCTCTGCCTCTGCCACTTGCCACTCCTACAATTCACCTCATCCCATCCATGTCTTTTCTAGCTCTCTCAGGTAAAGAAACCTAACATACATGAGGAAAGTGCTATGTGAGAATGATATGAAAAGTTTCAGAGGGTCACAAGTGTGACTCTTCTCCCTCTATTTCCCCCTCTCCTTCTCCCTCTCTTTCCCCCTCTCCTTCTCCCTCTCCCTCTTCCTCTCTCTCCTTTTTCTTTTATGTTTAGAAACAGTCTTATCATGTAGCCCAGGCTGGCCTCAAACTCAGTTTTTCTGTCTTGGTCTTTTGAATGTGCCCCCACCCCCAGCCTCTGAGGAGGGAGGTTTGTCTTTTTAAGCCCTGCTTTCACTGGGGTCTGTATCCTTCTGGGGGTAACTTTCTTCTCCCCTTCCCCTTAAAAATCAATACGAAGAAGGATCTGAAAAAAATCACGCACAGTGAGGCATCACCACTGATGGCTCATGAGAGTCAATATGATTCTTTTCCTGTGTGTGTTTTCATTTCAATCAGGAATAAAAGAGGATTCTGTACTTGTGGTGTTTCAGAAATTAAGGGGAAGAGAGAGGAAGACTTTGAGCAGAGGGAGATGATAGCTTTCTCCTGTTGGCTTTGTTTATGATTCCCTTGGTAGCCTAGCCTGCAGGACAGAAGTCAGGTTCAAGGACAGAGGTTTGAGAGTTTCTCTTAATTTTAAGCAAACAGAATGGCAATGATATCTTCTTATCTTAAAAAGAAGCTTTAGGGAGCTGGAGAGAGGGCTCAGCTGTTAAGAACACTGGTTGCTCTTGCAGAAGTCCCGGGTTTGAATCCCAGCACCCACATGGCAGCTAACAACTGTCCATAACTCCAGTTCCAGGGGATCTGACGGCCTCTTCTGTCCTCTGCGGGCATTGCACGACACAGGTGCACTTACCTACATGCAGGCAATACATGCATACACATAAAAATAAAAATAATAAATAAAATATTTTTTTTAATTCCTCCCTAGTTAGATAATTTCTCAGTGAGACAAAAACAGCCAAGAACCATTGACTTCTTTGTCTAACACTCTAAATGCTTATGTTTTACTTTTTTTAAAACTATTCTTTGCCAAACTGAGTTCTTAATGCACACAATTCATTCCTTTGTAAGTTCAGAATAACATGAAGCAAGTGTGGATAGAGGAAAGTACCAGGCTAGGTTGCTGTGGCAGAAGCTAACAGGGAAGAAAGCTTAACCACACATTCATGCCAAACAGGACACAGCATAATGCTCCTGTTAACTCAGAACAGAAAGAGGGGCACAGAGAAGGAGGCATAATTCCAGACAAGGGTAGCTGGAGAAAGAGTTTTATCTGGTCTTCAGTAGATGGAAAAGGGTTCAAATGGCAGGAATGGGAGGAGTCACAAAGGGAGGGACAACCTAAGTACAACCAAGATGCTTTGGCTCAGGATGCCAAAGGGAGCGGGCAGCCTTCTGGAACCACCTGGGTACTGTTTTGAGTAGCACCAAGAAGTCACACTTTATTTCTTTGGTTGTCCAATTTCTCTTCCACTGACTAGGAGAATGGAGCGGTTGGTTCTGATCAAATACTATAGAAAAAAGGAAAGAGAAGTAAATCATAAATCTGTCTCCAAGAATTGAAAAGCCTAGAGATTCTTAAATTCAAATGCCCCAGAATGGGATGGGAGCCAGTCTTGGTCTGAAGACATTTGTCAGCAACAGAGAATGCTGGGCAAGAGGAGCCATAGGGGCAGAGTCCAAGGAAGAAGCTTGTGTGCGACAGGGAGCCCTGGGAAGTTATAAAAGCAGAGCTGTGTTCAGGACAATAGAGCTCAACAGTGAGTAAGTGGCTGGCTCTTAAAAGACTTTGTATCTTTATGGACCACAAAGTATTGCTATACTAAATTCAAAATAATGAAGTTGATCATTTGGCCTATATTTGCACTATAAAATAAATTCTAGTATATACAGTTAAGAATAGTACCTAAGATTTAAGAAATGTTATGACAAGAAAGCACTTAAAAGCACAAATTTTGATAAGTAATTTTTCTTCAAATTAGAAAATATCTGCAATTATTTTATTTGGGAATCAAAATGTGCTTTCATCATACAAAAGACTTCTGGGTGCTAAAGGGCTATTTGAGAACATCTGCTTCAAAAAGTTCACCCCAGAAGCACTAGGTAGAATGGAAACAGAAGTTGCTGAATTCATTTGAACCAGAAGCTAGCAGCTGACTGAGAATTGGAAGAGTTAAAATGATCTTGGGAGTTATCGAAAAATGATCATTTTTTCTTCTATTGAAAACATAAGTCCATCCCATTTGGGAAGATATATTAGCCAAAGTTTTACTTGACCAGAAGGTTCTCTAAGAAATAAAACTGAGGGGCTGGAGAGATGACTCAGCTGTTAAGAGTACTGGCTGGTCTTGCAGAGGACTTGGGTTCAATTCCCAGCACCCACATGGCAGTTCACAACCATCTGTAACTCCAGTTCCAGGGGATCCAGAGGCCCTCTTTTGACCTCTGTGGGTATTTCATGAAACAAGTTCATCTACCTACATGCAGGCAATACATTCATACACTCAAAATAAAAATAAAAAGAAATAAAACTGATAGGATGCACATGGGTATCTCTCTCTTGCTCTCGCTCTCTCTGTGCGTGCGTGCGTGTGCGTGTGTGTGTGTGTG